ATGATTAAAGAGTAAAAATATTTAATGAACGTATTGATCATCTTATACAAATAGATATTTTTTAAGTAGAAGAAATATTTGCTATTTTAGTTTGTCACTACTTCTCTCTCTCTCACACACACACATACATTCTCTTATTTTCTCTCATTTTTAAAATAAAGAGCATGAAGGTAAACATCAGCCTTTCTCCATCTATATAATTATAACCTCTGAGTTAGTGAATTAAATGAAGTTGTATTGTGTCTAACTTGAATACTTTGTATTTAAATTGGAATCCATACTGAGATATGAAGACCAAATGTCACCAGCTTCTACGTGTAGTACCAGCCCGTGAGCAGAGTGCACCACCTTGCAGAATGAGTACACAAATTTATATAGATCCAGCTCTCAGCTGCTTCTCAAGGCGAGCGATTACTACTGCTTAAATCTCTTCTCAGGGGACTTCTTCGGTCTCTTTTAGCTTACAGTGTTGTGTGGAAAAAGGATTGTTTCTCCAGCATCCTGCTACGCATTCCTCCCTAAAGAAGGCTGCAGTCCGATGAAGCTCCAATTTAGGGTCTCTCCACAGATGGAGTATCTTTGGGGAGAGAAAGGAGTATGGTAAGCAGTGGTTCAAGACAGTCAGGGCCTCAAGGCATAAGGGTGCACTGGGGTGGGGGTGGGGGAACGAGGGTGGCCTTCATAGTCATAGCCAGAATGGTGAATTTGGAATTAAGAAACCAAAATTCTAGGTCCAGTTCTGTCATTAATTCTAGGTCCTCCTCTGTAATTAAAAAAAAAGAATTTTTTTTCAAACCCCAGGGTTTTAAATGACCTCAAATAGCATCCAGACTGACTCAGAGGGAATCACCACTTCCTAGTGCAATAGGCTTGGGTCTCTTGGGTTGAAATCTCCAGTTTTAAATAGTGTAATGCAGACAGTTAAAAATAAAGTAAAATGACGTGACCCAGGCCTCCTCATTATTTCTTTGCTTGGAGCCTCCATGCCCTGCGTCGGAGGGGCCCGGCCTGACTTTGCTTCTCTCTCAAAGACGGAGCTTCTTGATGGGAAGTTTTCTTCCATCTCTACAGCTTTAGGATTCTGTAATTACTTTGATAGATGAGGGCCCATGGTTACTGGCAGCTGCAGGAAGTCAACGCTGATCCTACAGCTAACACTCTGAGACTCTTCTCACCCACCCTGCTACTGTAGAAAAAACTTCAAATATAAGCAGGTGCATTTAAGAAGTGGCTGATAATAATGGGCTCTGAGGTCCATAGTAAGGAGCCAGTGAAAATTCCAGAGGATTTGTTTGCGAGAAACAGAAACTCACTCCAGCCAGCTCACAAAATGGGGAATGGGTTCTAAGGTACACAGTTGCTTGCAACCTATTCAACAGGACCCCAGCCCCAAGAGGTACTGGAACTGAAAGCTGGGGTGCCTTTGGGAACCCAGGCAGCTTCTCTCTGCACCCCTCTCTCTGGGGCCACGTGTCGTCTTGTCTCTGCTGTATGTCAGCCTCATTGCCCTTGTTCTGCTGACAAACATCTCTAGCTGCTCGCCCCCATGCGTGGCTCCCCACGACTAAAGTCTCAAGCCCTGATCCACGTGACCTTTCAGTTCCCTCCACCATGGCTAACTGCCTCAATTTTTATGTCTTCATTCCCAGTTTCTAAATCTCTCTGAGATTATCTGCCTGATTTTCCTCTCTACCAACCCTATCAAATGACCGACTCAAACTGTAGTCTTCTCGCGTATGTCCACAGTCTCTGTGTTATAACTCACTAAATTAAATTCTGCATATAGCAAACATATAAATAGATCTATTCAAGGTGTTTTTAAAATGTAGATTATTACACTCATATAATGTTCATTTTGGAAAAATTAGGAAGTACAAACAAAGGAAGATACAAATAACCCATAATCCAGGAAATTCTATCTATCTCCTTTGAGTGTATAAATATAGACACTATTTTTACAAAATGAAATTATATTGCATTTACTGTTCTGTGACCTTTTTCACTCAATAACATGTGGTGAACGTCTTTCAACTTATCATCCTTTCAAACTAAAGAAAAGGAGATTTTGATGCCAGGAATGTTAGGCAATATTTGTGGAACATTTAACTTGTGTTTTTCTGTCCTTTAGCTGTATTAACTTACTTAACCTTCACAACAAGCCCATGAGGCAGGAACTGTTATGACCTCTATTTTGTAGATGAAGCAAGCAAGGTAGAGAAAGGTTAAGTAACTTACTCAGAGTCACTCAGATGGAAAGTGTTAGCGCCACGCAGTCCAGCAACAGAGCCACACTCTTAACCTCCACACTATAGTGACTCAGTGCTCATGTTCCAGGCTTTCCTTGCATATAATTCTGAAGACAGGGAAAGAGAGAAAAGGCAAGAGCCAGGGAGAAGAGAGTAAGAGAGAGAGATGGAGATTCATGGTGGAAAATAGAGGAAGGGTGCAAGGAAGAAGCAACATAGAAAAGAAAAAAGAAAAAAGAAAAAAATTTAACAGGATGGGGAAGTAAAATATAACATTGAACTCCAGGAAATTGCCATTTTTCTCAGTCAATAGCAATGCTCAGTTTATTAAATTCCATCACCAAAGATGCTCCTCACTGCTCAGCAATCATTAAGGAACAATATATGTAAACATAATTAACCTTGGGACTTGAGTTGAATTATTAAGCAAAGAATCAAAATACTACTGAAAATTAAAAGCCCCCAGGAGGACAACTTAGAGTCTTTATTTGATCGCCCAGTGAATCAAATCAAATTGAACTATAATCACATAATTTACATAAGGGGTGAGTGCCAGGCATCTGATACAGATCTACCTTTACATTTAATCAAAGGCAGTGGTTCTTAGAGTGTAGTAGCTTTAATATCACCTAGGACCTCATTAGAAATGCAGATTCTTAGGCACATCGCAGAATCAGAGTGAGGTGGGCTCAACAATCTAAATTTAAAAAGCCCCCTTGGTGATTTGAGGCACACTAGTTTGAGAACCATGATCTAAGTAAGGCAAAAGATGGTGCAATTGTGAGAGCTGGGCATCGTAAATCAACTAAATGCCTCTCTTGATTTTTCACTATATTCAGGTAGATCTTATGCTCCTTTCTACCAGCTATATCTGTGTTTGGGCTGACAAGTGACCAAATAAACAGCATCCTGGTCTCTGGAAAAACCAGTGAGTTTGTCCACATGTGGGATATTTCCAACTACTGAACACTCCCTCAAGCTCAGGTGAGTTTATCTGGAAAAAAAAAATGAAGTCGTTAGAGTTGAGTCTCTTGGTAGGACTAACATAGACATAGAATATACTACTTCCCAAAGAGTAGAGAGAGAGAATCAACAGATTAAAAAAAACTTACCTAACTAAAGGATGTCAGGAATAAGAGGAACAGGGAGGGAAGAAAAAGCGTAATAAAGAGAAAAAAATAATATGCCACACATTAGTCCAAATAGATCTCAATCACAATAAAGTCACATAGATTATCCTAGAAAAATATTGATCAAAATGAAGATGTTCTAACCACATAAATGTCAGATGGAACAGACTTTAAAGTAAAATATTATTTAGGGACAAGGATGGTTTTCACGTAATATACCAGAGAACTACAAGAAGCCAGAGACAACAAACATCAGCAACATAGCCTCAAAATAATAGGTGAACCATATGAAGTTTGTCAAAGTTTGATTGACCTATAAAAGCAGAAATTTTATTTAAAGTAAAAATCAATAGAATTATGAAAAACTGAATTTCTTAAAGTGCGATTTTAATATCTATCTGTTAGAAACTGATTGATCAAGTGATTAAAAAATTAATAATGATGTTGGATATTTGAACAGCATGATTAAGACATTTCATAAAATCCACATATTTAGAACTTTATCTCAACTCTTAGATAATCTGCATTCTTTTCAAATTTTCAGGGAATATTTCCAAAAATTGAGCACATACTAGGCCATAAAGGACATCCTAATAAATATTGAAGAATTGATCAAACATATGGACTATATTCTCTGACCATAATATGATAAAATGAGAACTCAATTCCAAAAAAAAATTTGGAAACTAAAAACGGTTCTAAATTATTCATGAGTCAAAGAGTAAATCATGATAGAATTTAGAAATAATACCAACCTGGTTTATCATGATCTGCTTTTTCCCATTTTATTCAGTAAATGTGATTTAACATCTGGTCATACCAGTAAAGCTAATTTGGTAGGCCTCAGGAACAAAAAAGCCTTGTTTTTAGTGGGAAAAAACTATAAAGCCTTAATTAAATGGCTTATTTCACCCATTTGTCCATAGATTTTGTGTCTAGATTTTACTCAGTATCTCCTCCATTTTAAGGGGTAAAAAGTACCCCTTTCTTCACAGTTGAAAGGCCCGTAGAAGCATCATCACTCATGTAGAGTACTTCACATGTGCAGCCAAGGCCGCCATCATCACAGGCTCTTCTGAACGAACCCACAAACTGTGGACTGCTGAGGGAACACTCAGGGGAGTGAGTATGTAAAGAGACAACCAAATGGCTTCTCAAAATACCAGCTGCTTTCATTTACCACAGGTAGGTTTCCCCATCCACACTATCACATCCAGGTTAACCCTGGCAGGCAACCTTGTTGAAATTAGGCACCTGCCCTACTCACGGATGCGAGCAGATCTGAGCATGTCTCTTGAGTTCCAGATAAATGGAAGCACATAAACAAGCAATCGTTTAGAACAGCATCTGCTTCCAAATCAGAGCAATACATATAAGAGCAGAGGAATGTATTTTGCTTCACTGCACAGTCCCCAGTCCGAGTATAACACTTTAAAATGTCACGTGCATTGGAATACAAAGTGGAAAATATGCAGAGGTCAACAAAGCTAAAATCTCTTCTCTAGGACTCCAGTTAAAAAGGCCTGGGAGTTCCATCTACAACATTCTTCCAGGAACCTCATAATGTCAACATTCCAAAGGAGGCTAGAGCTCCAGAATCAGGGTCTAGGATGCCAGAGACAGGAGAGAGAAATCCCCATGGCTCCTGGGATTTTGAATAAGGACAAAGGCTAAGAAGTAGGAAATAAAGAGTGAAATCCTGTCAACACTGCTGAATCTGAACACCATCCTAAGAATGTCCCATCTCACTAATTGGAAGGTCTCCCAAGTAAGCAAGAGCTTGATGCCATATGACAATGTCAGGTAATCGGCTCATCCTTCTCTTCCTTTACGTCACCAGGGACACGCTCTGGGTGTCAGCAACACACTCTTTCTTAGGCAGAGAGTTTGCCCAATCTGTCAGCCAGTATTTTAACAACATGGATAAGGAAACCACTGAAAAAAAAAATGGACGTCTTTGCAGTAGGGTAGAGGAGATATGGATATTTTTCTTTCTGTATTAATTTCATTTAATGTTATTGTATTAAAAATTATTTAATAAGTAAAAGTAATAATTGGATTAGGTTAAACATATTCACCACCCATAATTTGATTCAATGGCTCAAAGGCAAAGGTCCAGTGTAAAGGGTCAATCTTGTAAGGAAATCAAGGAGAGGGTGTCAAACTTTACATAGAACACTCAGCTATCAAAAAAATGAGGCTCATCATTTATCATCTACTACTCTCTTACTCTGGAGTTCCCATTCTTCCTGATGGCAGAGAAAAATAAAAATTGCCAATAAAGGGAAACTCACTCTGTTTCTATTTGAAACATTTCACTTTGAGATTAACTTGGCCTCATTTGGGTAAACACCCAGGCACTCAAAGGCTATTTCTTTCCTCTCTCAAGGGGTCACTTCTCCCACTCCTTCTTCCCAACAGGGTATCTGGGCACAGAGGGAAGGTGACATATCCTTGAGGCAGGGGACCTTTGTGTTCTTGGTGTCCTCACTTATGGACTGGCCTTGTCCCTAAATGTCCTGGGCTGGTGTTTACTTAGTTGTGGCTGATTTCACTGTCCTCCATGAGCATCTGCTGCTGAAGCCCACGGTCCCACGGTCCCTCAAATCACCAGGTCTCTGTGCTTTGCGGCCTCTTGCTTCTTTGCCCTGACCACAGGCCTATGCTGGGACACAGCTGCTCTCAACACCCTGGCGTCCTCTCACCAGGGCAGACAGGAACTCCAGGCCATGAGGAACCCTCTACCCTGGCTGTTCCACCACCTCCAAACCATGGTAGACCCAGTGGGAAATCAGGGGTGATCCAAGATGGCTGAGTCTCCCTCAAACCATCTGGGGTTTCTGTGAGGATTTCTAACATCTCATCACCCTCTGCCTCAATTTTGCTTAAGCCTGGTGGGGTGGTGGAAGGGGAAGCCTGAGGGAAGACACAGTCCCTTCTTAATGGCCAAGCTTTGATACGCATCCTAGTTTTACCCCCTCAGAGTCACCCTCCCATCTCCTGTGGCAACACTTTCTACTTCCTCTTCATATCTGGTGGAAATTTCCCACAAGTCCTTTCCTCTACGTGCTCTGCACCATAGTTTTGATCCTACTTGATCTAGCCTGGCTCCTTATATGGTAAAGGAAACCTCTAGGAATTTAGAAAACTCTTTCTGTCTTCACAAAGCATGATTCTTACCTTGCTGTGGATTTAAAAATGCTATCTTGAGCTTAGGACCCTAAAATTGACTCTACCTTCTTTCCTTTCTGCTTTAAGAATCCTAATTTTTCCCAAGGTAATGGAAGCTACATCAGCTGATGACTCACTCAACGTAGGATAAGATCAAAGTGGATTTGCAAAGGTATGGGAGAGGTATAGGGGAACTGCAAGAAACAGCGCATTGTCCTGGGGCTAGTATCAGTGGAATCATTACCACTCCTGGGTCCAAGACCTGAAGATCTGAGGGAAGGGTTACCAAAACCAGAAGGAGAAAGTGTGTAGAGAGAACCAGTAACCTTCAGTTAGGGTCTCAGCAAGCTCAGGGTAACCCCTCAGGGAAGAAGCCAGCCAGTGGGATAAATATTGACATCATTGTCCTCCCTTCTTTTGATTCCCCGCTGGAGCATCCAACTGGCCACACCTAACTGGATGCCAGAGGCAAGGGAGTCCATTGATATAACCCAACCAGTCAGCTCCAGGATGGAGATGAGTAGAGGGTGGATGTTATGGACAACAGGATGTATCCAGCCAAAAAGATTTTCCTTGAAAGGGCAGTGAGGAACAGATCAAGTACAAGGATGTATGAAAAAGAAAATTTCATTGATATTTTTAAAAAATATTATATCCCTATAACATATGTCTGTCTTATCCATAGTTTAATTTTTGTCAGTGTCCATCAAGGTATGTATTTCGGTTAGATGCCCACTAATTTGCAAAGCATTCTGATAAGGATAGCTAGCTAACCCTGAGTGCTTTCTGTATGCGAAGCACTGTGGAAAAACATTTTGTTGATGTTATTTAATCCTCAAAAGAATCTTCTGGAGTAAGCATTATTATTATCATCTCCATCTTGAAGACAGGGAAACTCAGACTAAAAGAGTTAAAGAATTTGTCCAAGGTCATACAAGCTAGTTAAGAGTCTGCATAAGATCTAAGACTAGGCTTTCTAAGAGGGACAGGGAGCTGGGAATAGACAGGAGAGAAGTGGAAAGAGCACATCCTATCTTAGCATCTGCTGCTTCTAAGTCACAACTGATGGTCACCATCTGGAAAGGTGAGGGCTAAAGTCACCAGATCTGCTTTTTCAAGAGAAGCTTGTAATCCACTTTGCATAGGAAAGGTCTCCATTTTTTTAATTTAATTGTTTGGTTTAAATTTTTCATTCAATTTGAAAAATGCGTGAGTTAAAGTAAACTTCCCAGGAGCTTCCAGTTTGCAACCTTGACTAGACCATAACAGAGAAACTCCACTCCAGTACCCCAGCACTCCAGCACCCTTCCACCCATGGCTGTAATGCCTGTCAACAGCTTTTAAGGGGTTGCAAACTAAGAATGTGTATTTCCTGTCAAACTGGCAACCATCATGCTTGTAAGTTTCATAATAATAATATGATGGACTATTTGTGGTTACCAGCATGAATTAAGTAGCATGCTAAGAACTTTACGTATGTCATATCATTTAATCTTCACAACAAACCTGCAATTTATGTATATATCATAACACACATTTTACAGATGAAAACACTGATTCAAAGATGTTAAGTCACAAACCTGAAGAGACAAAATAGAAAACAGCCAAGCTAAGACTCAACTCAGCCCTCTGACTCCAAAACTTAAACTTTTTCTACCAAAAGTAGATGATTTTCCCCTGCACAACTCTGAGATTCTAAGCACACAAACCAGAAACCCACTGGACAATCTCTTCTTCCAAGTCAGGTACCAGTGATAACCTCGAGATAATAAATTTTACATTGTAGGCTGCTCACCAACCATCCAAATATTATGCTTCCTAAAAGCACCATGGACACTCTTAGAGCACCAAACAGAAATGAGATAAGCAAAGCAAAGAGTGGGACAGTGTGTTCTCAGAAGTGGGCAAGCTGGTGGAAAAACAAACAGAATCTGCTAAAAATTAATGGGAAGGCAGAGACTCAGCTGAAGAAATACTAAGAGGTGCCTCAGTTCATTTTTTTTCATACCTGATTTACAAAGAAAATGTCATTTTTAAAGAGAACCTTAAAAAAAATAGATTCCACCTGCTGAAACTCAAAAGACAATATTAAATAAGTCTATTCTATCATCCCCAGGCATGCCTTCCAAGCTCCAAGTACTTTCTTCTCTCTCCGAATCATAATTCTCATCTTCCTTTCTGGATGTTTCCACCACCCATCTCAGCACAAGCAGCTCTCAGACTTCCTGCACCCACCCCTCTTCTAGCATTTTTATTTCAATATAGGAATAAAGTCTGACCAGACAAGGAGTTGCAAAGGAGAAAATCCATAGTTACATATTTCCATATGTTATGCCATTCACTAGATTTATTGCCAACCCTTAAGCCATCTCTAATTTCCCAAGATTTTGTTGTCTCAAGCTCTACCACATGTTCTTCCAAATGTTTCTATCATTGCTTCTAAAGTTATAATAATAAATTACAAAGTTTGCCTTTTCAAGAGACTTATAGTGCCAAGAGACTTCTTCACTCTACATTCTACTACATAGAGCTTAGTAAAAGGTCTCTCCAATTAATATGGTCAAAACAGATTTCCATTCCCCACCTCCCACAAAACAGTCGTCCCTCTTCTAGGACCCCCCACTCTCTGTGAGCAGCACCATCATCCACCCTGTTGTTCAGGTCAAAATACCAGCAGGTCTCTTGAGCCTTCCTTTCCCTTATCCCCTCAGGCCAGTGCATCAGCAGGTCTTGTCAAGTCTACCTCCAAAACCTCTCCATCCCAGCTCCTGCCTCCATCTCCAATGATGCTATCCCAGTGCTAGCCATCCTCATCCCTCACCTGGACTGATGCAACCACCTCCCACCTGGCCTCCCTGCTTTCCCCTTCCCCCTCTCTGATCTGTTCTTCACAGATTAGCCAGCCTAATCATCCTAAAATGCAAATCCAAGGATGGTGTTTTCTCCTGCCTTTCTGTTGCTTCTAGAATAACATCTAAAATTCTGAACATTTCCCATGAGCCCCAGCCTGACCTGGCCCTGGCCTCTCTCCAGCCTCATTTCATGCCACTTTCCCTCTCTCTGTGTCCTCTAACCACACTGGCTTGTTTTCTCTTCCTCAAATATTTCAAGCCCTTGACTGTCTCAAAGCCTTTAGAATTACTGTTTCCTTTGCCTGGAACATGCATCTCCCAGTTTCTATTTCAATGGCTTGTTCTTATCTTTCAGGTCTCTGCCCCTAATTCTTTTGCCCAAAGAGCCTTTTCCCAATTCAAAAGGTGGTCCTTGACAGTTACTCTCTCTATCTCCCCTGTTAATTTCCCTTCTGGCAACTTTCACAAACTACAATTACTTTACTTAAATATTTACTAGCTGACTGCCTTGTTCCCACTCTACCCGAACACCTAGCATAGAGTCTGGATGACGACAGGGAAAAAAATGAGTGTTGAACAAATAGAGCCCACAGACACCCTCCTATAGCTCTGATAAAGCACATATCAGAGTCAAAGTAAAGGAAGAAATGTCACTGCCTCGTGTGTGAAAGCGAACAGCCAGTTAAACTTATAAAAATATGCTTTCAGTTAAGATCACAGAAGATATTTTCTGACTGATTATGCTGAGCTGGGGAGCAAGATGCAAAGATAATAAACACATTTAATTTGAAACAGATGGAAATCTGGTCAGTTCCCCACTGGTTCCTTGACTTGGGACCCTTTAAAAAACATTCTCTTCTCTTCAACATTTTATGAGTATAATTTTTCTGTGCCAGAATGTGCTCTCGTGGAGGACATCCCCAGCTCCCCAGCAGTCACTCGATGGCCCTATTCATCTTGACAAGGCAAGGCTTAATTGAGTCCTGTGGGCCCACACTCAATTGCATATCTGCCTGGGTCTGGTAGATGGTAATGTTTAGCTTCAACTTTATATACAGGCATCCCAAAGTGAGTGAAGCACTTTTAAGATCCTTGAATAGGGCACTAGAGACGTGTATAATAACATATTTATTGAGAGTAGATTTCCTTAATGTGCCAAAATATGCCTTAGGGTTGTCAGTTCCAACGTTACATACAACTTGCTAGAAAAATTGGAGGCATCTAGTAATCAGACACAGAGCAGATGTTCTTCTAAGCTTAAGAATTTTGTTTTTCTAAACAGCTGCCCAGCTACTCAGAACGGTGCATCACATAAGCTGCTTAAGTTGGATCTTCCGAGAAGAGCAAGGGAACCATCATAAGTGAATAAAGAGCTTCAGAAACCAAGGTTAAACTCATAAAAGAAAAATGATGCACTTTTTAAAAAAATTTGTATGGCATGAGGAAAATTTCAGGTTTCCATCCAATATCAGCAAGGATAGTTCAATAACTGGTATTAACCTAAGGCTCCCAGTAGGGACACTGTTATTTCTAAGTCCTTAATCATTCTCTTCTAATTATCACCTCCAGGGTGCTGGTTTTCAGATTAAACTTCTTTGGCTTTCAGAGAAAAAAATTAAACCCACCACAGATGTCACCACTTAGGGCTTCTGCAGATGGGCTAACCACAAAATGCGAAAGCAAAATCATGTCCTGCTTTCTGAGCCCTTACTGTGGCAGGACACTCTTGACGAATCCCAGATGCCACCTTCATGGGTACAGAAGCACCACCTTGACTTTCTGCTCCTAACTAACTCTGGTCATCACTGTGGATCTGGGGTTGATTGAACAGATCCCCCCCACCCCCATTCTGTCTCTCCTTTTCACATAGCTAATATTTTTAATCTACTGTCTTTTGTTCCCCTACACTTTCACCCAATACTTTGTCATCTATCCATCCATTCATTCATCCATCAAACATGGATTGGGCATCTACCTCTTGCCAGATATGTTGGTGAACAAGATAGACTGTACAACCTCATGGAATACAAAATCTAATAGTGGAGATAGGCATAAAAACTGACCACTTATTGCACAATTGGTCATTACTAGAATGGAGATACTTGAAAGATGCTGGAGACCAGAGGGAGGGCAGGACTACATCTAAGGATGGGAGTTGGGAGTGTCATAGATAGCACCATAGAGGAAGTGACAAGTAGGAGTTTCCCAGGAGGATGGGAGTTCAGAGGTGAGAAGGAGGGAAAACGTTACATTCCGGGCACAGAGAGAAATACAAGCCGAGTCACAGAAGCCTGCGAGCCCACAGCATTTCCAGGGCATTGGGACAGTTCTGCTGGTGACACAGCACTAGGGGGAGAGAGGAAGAGGGGATGAAGAAGTGAGCAGGGTCAGATCAGGAAAGACCTGTCAGGTCTTGCCAAGAGGGATGCCTTGGATGTTTGAGAGGCACTGAAGAACTATGTTAATACTCCCCAAAATATAAACAAATACCTGATATAAGGGAAAATGGGGCGGGGGGGGGGAAGAAATGGAAAACACAGTTTGATGCAGTATATTAATCCTACCCCATAAAAATGAAATACTAGCTCTTAGATGTTTCCTTCAGGCTCTCCTTCAAGAACAACCTCCCGTGTTTCATCACTTTAAGACTGTTTTCTTTCTAGTACATATATATACACGGGTGTGTGTGTGTGTATTTAATTCTGTGATGTCACCACTGGAACATTATATGTGGAACTTGTTCTCCAACTGTCCTACTGCTTGGGAGATATCCCACCCTTCTCTCATTACTACTATATGCAAGAATAAGGGGACAGTTTCAATTTCTTTTCTTTCTAGATTAAGTAGTTTTTCATGAAGCTGAGAGTTCCAGTTCAACTGCTTCCTCTTATGACCCACGTGCTCGGCCACTCATTTGGGTGTTGTTGAATCACTCACAATATCACACCTGACAGTGGGGTTTTTTTATGTTTAGAGTTCCCTGTGACAGGAAGAAGGAGAACAAGAAGCAAGAGGATCTGCCTGAAGACCAGCCCTCACCTCATGGTCAGATGCTGCAGAAGGAGGAAGGTGCCCAGATCACCAAGGACAAAAGAAAGGAGACAGGAGATGACAAGGCTGCTGAGGAAGGCCCTTCTCTCAGCAAGACAGACCCGCGAAAAGACACCAAGGGTAAGGCCAGCCCAGGGCTACAGACACAGTCCTGTTGCATTTGTAGGCATCCTTTGGTTTTACAAAATGGGGTTCTGGACCTGGAGGCTCCTGGGGCAAGGGCAGAGCTGATGTGATAGGACACAACTAACAGGAAAAAAAATCAAGGCTGTAAACAGCAACTCTACAGAGCTACTGTTATGCATGACTGAACTTCTGGCTCAAAAGCTCTATTTTCTGTATTTAGGTACTTTCTGGTATTGGGCAAAAGAGGACTGCTTCCAATGAAACCAAAGGCCATGCATGCCACTTAGCTCAATGGCCACATTCTGTGTCCTGGGTCACAGAGGGTCAGCCTCATTTTCTCAGTGAGAGAATCTGATTCTTGGAAGGAAAGGTAGAGAGCACCATCTCCAGGGGATGGCTTGGTTCTGGCCAAGGGCCCATGACTCCTGACCCCATTCATTGCCTTGACTTCTGCAAAGTTGGGCTCCTCACCACTGGGCTCAGTCTCTAAGCCCAGCGAAACACATACCTGAGCCTCAGGTGTATCCCATTAAGGCAAGGTACAGCCGTTAGCCAATGAGATATCTCTTCCAGAATGAGGAACAAATCACTTAGTGCCAACGAAAGATGACTTCAGGCCAGGGGGCAGTGGCCATGGACCTGATCCACAGAATGGCAACTGAGCTGGCTGGAAATGTGTCTCCTTCTTTCTCTTTTTGTAAATTCTTTCTCCTTTTCCCCCTTCTTTCTCCCTTCTCCTCTGCCTAACCTATCTACTACCCAAGGAATGACTTATCCTCGCCTGTGGCTCTCAAAGTTCTAAAATTGCAAGCCTGGGCTAAACGTATGGAGTAGCCTGTGCTGTCTCTGCCAAGAGAGCTGGGGAAGGCATAAGGCAAGTCATCCTTGCATTTCCATCCCTTGCTCTAACTAAAGAAATCAAACTTTTTACAAATACATCTACATGATGTTTCTGCTAAGTATGCCTCATTGATGGAGGAGGGGGGAAGGGGTGTATTTTTAAGGTGGAAAGTTATCTTTAAGCCTCATTTACTAACTGGAGATGCAACTCTTTCTGATCATTAACATAGAGCTATCATTTATTCCAAGTGCTAAACAGAGTGACAATTTCCAGTTGCCAGAAGGGGATACATAAATTCTCCTAATTACCTCTAGAGACCTATTCACACAGAATCAGACAGCATTTTGAGTTATGCAGACACTGCTCACTTTTTGAAAATCACAGTTTCGATTCCCTAAAAGTCTTCTTGGTTTTAGTCACATTCAGGCCAATGAAAGCTGTGAAGATGTGAACCAGCTAAGACAGAGCTTGGAAAATGGGTCTTTTGCAAAGCTCAATCTTACACCCCAGGACTGACACTAGTAATTAAGGAGAATTGTAGGGTGACAATTCTAGGATACAGCGAAGTAGGAGAGAGAGAGGAGACCCTTTATCTTAGGATAAAGGCCTCAGCCTTAAAGCAAAGCAAGTACAAAGTCTTCGTTGCAGCCAGAGTACAGAATGAGCTGTAAACTTCAAAGGCATGTAGGAGAAACTTCTGGACTCCTCCTGTCTCCCAGCTCAGATACTTTCTGCGAGTCTGCACATGAGCTTACAGCTTTCCCAGACACCTCCACACAGCCACATTGATTCTCCCCAACTCTTCCCAACTTCCCAATTCATATTCTTCCCCAGTTCTGTTTAGACATCAAAGTCTCCTTTGCTTTTTTTTACCTAGGTTTCATGCAGCAACAATTTATACAAAGTCAGCTAAGTGACAAGAACTTTAGAGAGTGCATAGGATACAAAATGGATTCATTCTTTCATTCAGTGAATACTTGTTGAGCACCCATTCTGGGTCAGGCACTGTTCCAGGTGCTGAAAATACCTCGGTGAATAAAACTGATCAAGATGATCAAAGACACGAATGCAGGGAATGCCCTAAGGGGGCCTATTCCATTCTCCAACTCATTTCCAGCCTTCCAGAGCAATGTTGGGGGAGGGTGAATTAGAATGCCACTCCCACCACTTATGGTCTAGTCTGGGGCAAATAAGTCATCTCAGGAGAATGTCAATGCTCGCTCCCTAAGAAAGTAGCGCGTTGGAAGCATTGGAAACATTTATCCTGGGAGCCGGCAGTTCAGAATCCACAGACTGCACCCATGTGAACCCGTCTGTTTCTTATTTTCCTCCCACTTGAAAGTGATTAGGATTTTCTTCCATTTGGGGGTTTCTACCCACTTCTGACCCTGAAAGTCTCAGGAAATTACAAAGCAAGTTTTCCAACAGATGCTTTTACCAGCGTCAGACTGTCTTACACAGCTGCCAATTTGCTCTCTCTACGTCTTGAAAGCCTGACGCATTACAAGTAAAAGAGGCCTGAACTGGATGGCCCTGCTTGCTTGTGGAATGCCCAGCTGCAAAAGCGAGGTTGGCTTTCATTGCCTGATGAGACACTCCTAAACCCGTGCAGGCTCTGCCAGGCAAGAGATCCTGGCAGGAAATATTCATAGATATAAGATGAAAGATTGAAGTGGAGTGGTGGAGTGTGTGTGTGTGTGTGAGAGAGAGAGAGAAAGAGAGAGAGATTCAGAAATGTCTAAAAAGAAGTGGGCTTGCTTGGAAATGTGCGGTTTCCACAGCAATTTTTGGAATCTCAGTGGAGAGAAGAGCGGGGGTGCCTGTATCGGAAGAATCCACAGCCACTCCCCAATCAGAAAGCCGTGTGTTGTATGAAATCTGAACCACAGCCCTTGCCTATAACCCGCCTCTGCTCGGGGGTGTCTGGGGAGACTTGGAAGATTGCAGATCAAAGGGAGAGCTGGCTCCAATTTGTCAGAGTCAGGAAAACACATCATTCAGACCAGTATTGGGTAACTGTACATCCTGCCTTAACATGCTCACCAGGACTAGATGGTTTAGCAGAGCATGACTTGGTTTTTTCTGAAAGCAACAGATGATTGAAAAAGAAAGGAGAGTAGATAGAGCAAAGGCTCAGAGAGAATGAAGGGTCTGCCACTTACATGCTGTGTGGCTTTAGGCAATTTGTCCCAGATCTTGGTGCCTTGGGTTTTCCTTGTGCAAAATGGAGCTCATCATACTCAGAGCATCAAAGAATCACAAAGCTGGGAGAGATCTTAAAGGTTGTAGTCTGACCACTAAGAGCCTGACACATATTATGCACTAAACAACTCTTTAATTCATCAATGATGTCATTGAGTGAAGGAACCAGCATGTGAATGTGTGCTGGGATCCCTGCAAGCAATGGTTCAATCTATGCTTAACAACCACCAGCGACGGGACCATCTACTGGGATGAGTCACGCGGTCTTTGGCAGCTGTGGCTGTTAGCGTTGTGTGCAAACCCAAATCCAAACCTGCCTCCCAGAAGCTTCCGTTATTGGTTCCAATTCCACCCACTGGGGCTGGGTCAAATGAGTTTGATCCCTCTTCTACATGGCAGCCCTTCAGGTATTTGAAGATAACCGTCATATCCCTCATTGGGTTCATTCTTCTTCAGTCTAATTATTCCTACCTCCTTTAGTGGTGCCCCAAAAAACAAAGAGAGTTTTAGGGTTTTAGTAGTCTGCACCATCCTCATCACTCTCCTCTGAATGAGCTGTAGTTGGTCCAGGTGCCCTTGAGCTGAATTCAGGGATTCAGCTGTGATTGGACCAAGAAGAGAAAAAGTGGGTCTATCCCCTTCCTGTTCCAGATCCTGTTGGATCTGTGTCTGTTGATGCAGGCGATGGCCTTTCTGGCATATATACCGGCCACAGCCCACTCATCCTACCCCAAACCTGTACATAATTTTTAGATCTCAAACAGATGCTCAGGTAAGGTGTGCTCGAAGACAGAGAGCAATTCCTTCTTGGGTCTTTTCTGCCTCAGAAAAAAATTAGACACATCAAGCCCAAAGAGTGATTTGCTATTCTGGTTAAATTCTATTTCAACTACCCTATTCCCCATCCCACATCTTTATCTGTACTTCTCATGAGTCAGTACTGAAAAAGAGAGGTGTCTCTGTCCTTCCCCTCTCACACTGATTACAGCTCTAGAAAGGGAGCACTAAATTATAATAAAGATGTTTAATTATTCCTTACACCTGTTAACATTGGACAGTTTACCAAGTATTTTCAAATACTTGGGGGGTGGTGTACATTATGAAGTAGATTTTTATATCTAGAATTGCATTTAACCTGGAGGGATAAAAAGAAAAAAAATTCACCAACAGAAAAAGGATTGTATTTCCCCCACGTGACAAGATGTCAGGAAGAAGGCAGTACAGGGCTGGTAGGTGGCTTCATGATGGCATCAGAAACCCAAGCCATTCATATAGCTTTCTGCTTCTGCTTATCCTCATGTTCACAAGATGGCTGCTCACCTCTGTGCATCACATCCATTCCAGGCAGGAAAAGGGTAGGTGGGTGCAGAGAAAAGAGAAAGGTACATTCTAGCTAAGCACCAGAAAACAATAAGTCTTCAAGACACCTCTTCCCCACCAATAGACTTTCACACATACAGTGGAATAGCTGGATTAAAATGTACGTCACTACTGGAAGTAAATGTTAGCTGTTCTCTAAGGAAAGGCTACTCTAATAAGGTCTAAATTCTGGATCTGATCGTAAAAGTAGGCCAGCATCCTCTCAATGGGAGCAAAGCAGATGGGCATCACTGTGTGACCACAGCCATGTCTTTTTCTTCTCAAGGCTTTTTTGATGTTCAGTAAATTGGCCTTTGTGCTCCCAGTCCTGATTAAAAGAGTCTTCCTCAGCCCTTCTCCTGTGCACAACTTACATATGTGTCAAGTTGGGGGTACAGCTTGGAGTGTGGATCTGAAAAGACATCCTTTCCGCACCTCTGGCTCTGATGCCCACTGTGTGTGTAGAAACCATGTGTGGATATGCTGGTACCTCCTGCCTCTAATTCCGCTTCATTTCACAAAGCAGCAAGCTTTGGAATCAACCCTCGTTTTGTCCCAGTGTATAGCTTACAGAAAACCAGTGAGCTAGGGCAGATGAACCTCATCTTACAAACTGATAGTAGCGTCGTGGTTAAACAGCATGGGGTCAGAAATGTTGGGGTTTGACTCCCATGGGGTTTGACTCCCAGCTCCACCAGTTCCTAATGTGGGTCCTCAGCCAAGTCCTTTAATTTCTTTGCACCATTATTTCTTCACTGGTGTATTAGTTTTCTATTGCCATGTAACACACCACAAACTTAGCAGCTTAAAACAACACCTGCTCATTATGTCACGGTTTCTGTGGGGTAGGGGTCTGGGCACAGCTTAGCTGGGTCCTCTGCTCAGGGTCTTAGCTGGGGCTCAAGGTCTTTGGCAGAATCTATTTCCTTGTAGCTTTAGAACTCATGGTGGCTTGCTTCTGCAAGGCTAGTAGGACTTGAGTCTAACTTCTAGACCCTCTTTTAAAGGGCTCACTTAATTAGGTCAGGCCCACCCAAGGTAAGCTCCCTTTGATGGATTTAAAAGCAACTGATTAGGGACCTTAATTACATCTGCCAAATTCCTTCATCTTTGTCATAATGTAACATAATCATGAGTGAAATCTCATCATATTCACAGGTTCTGACCACATTCAAGGGGGGGGCAATTATACAGGGCATGCATAATAGGGGGCAGAATCTTGGGACCGTCTTAGACTTCTGCCTACCACACCCTATAAAATAGAGATACTAACAGGACCTATCTCGTATGGTTGCTTCAAAGATTAAATGAGATGGTGAATGTAACAGTTCGTAGTCAGCAAGGGGCAGCTGTTATCATTATTTCAGCATTTTTGAGCATCTACTACACCGCAGGCTCTGTGCTAGCAACTGGGGATTCAGGAAATAATAACGCAAACCTTGCTCTGAAAGAAATCATGGCATTTCTCTAGTGCTAGTACTGCCCCAAACACGGTTCAAAACTTGGCAAAAAGCCATAAAGCTTTAATCCAACTAAATGACTTTCAATCTAAAGACTCATGATTTTCTTGGCTTGTCAAAGCCACTGTCAAAAATAAAAAGTGTTGACTCCAATCAAATACTGTAATCCACAGGATTATTATTTCCACCCTTAAATGCCCCCCGGTTTGAAGGCTCAATTGCAATCAGAGGAACAGCTATTTGATGCTTTTGTTCCAGCACTGGAGAATTCAAACTCTCACCCAGTGGTTTTTAGCCTCCACTGCACTCATTTGAATTACCCAGAGGGCTTGTCCAGGGTATCACCTGCCAAAACTCAGATGCAATTGGCCTGGGGTGCACCCTTGCACTGGAATTTTTAAAAGCCCCCCAGGAGGCTCCAACACATCACCAGGGATGACATCTGACTTCTAACTGTTGCTGTAGGCAAAGCTGGGTAGACTCTCAATGGTCTGAAAGCGAAATTCTCCTTAAAGAGAAAATGCTGGCGACATGATAAGCCAAAGAGACATGAGCAGCAATAAAGCATTTTTCCATTTACTTTCAGCCGAGAGACTGAAATTCAACATGTGTCACACCTTTTCAAGCCACTCTCCCACATCTGCTTTGCGCAGACAGCTCACCTCTGGGTGGGGAATAGCCGGGAGAGGATAGGGAAAAGACGAAATTGCCCACATATCCAGGAAAGCTGCTGGTGCTCGGCGTGTTCTCTGCTTGCTCATTCAATGTGTACTCTGTCACCTACGTGCGTTAAGCACCTACTGTATGCCAAGCTTCCTGCTGGGTGCCGGGGCTTCTGAGATCAGCAGAATCCAAATTCTGCCTTCCAGAGCTCAGAGTCTAACGCCAACATGCAAAGATGCCCTTTCTGTATCAGAGACGTGCTTTCAAGATTGAGCGCATGGAGCTAGTTTTTAGTTTATAAATAACCATTTTTAAAACTTTCTCAGTCTTCTGTGTGTATTTCTCTCCAGGGTTTAATCAATTCCAGAAAGCAGCCTCTTTCCAACTTTTCCTCCTTCTCCCCTGGCCACCATCCTCCCCCCAAAAAATTATTACCAACAATAGGAGCTTAAAAATTGCCAAAATGCCATAATTATTTTACAAGGAAAAAGAGTAACAGAAAGCTACAGTCTCCTCTTCCCCCACCCCTTCTAACCCCCCAGGGCCTTCACCCATACAAAGGGTTCGCACGCTCCACAACCCAGAATGCATCCTGGGCTGGGTGGGGGCTGGTCCCTTCTGCCCGCTGATAGTCCCTGCTTCCAGCAGGACTGATGGCAAACGCAGCGGAAAGCAGACACGTACTGTCTGAGGAGGCTTGGGCAAAGCCCAAGGAAGCTGGATTCCTCTTTTAAGATAACACTCAGCCAGTGGCAGCTGTTTGAGACAGAGAGCATGTGAACTCTGGCTTCGTAAAATTAAGCCCAAATTTGGTTTGCCTGGGGTCTAAAGGGGAGTGTTTACCCCAGAATATCACATGCTCCTACAAAGACCTGAAATGCAACCTGAGAGGCCGTTCATCTGGAAGAAAGCCAAAGTTCCCGTTCAGACAAAATGCTCTCCAAAACCCTCACCCCCTCTCATTTGGTTTATAAACATTTATTGAGAGTCTACTGTGTGGGAGACATTGCGCTGGGCGGTACTAGTCCACCCAACCCACACTCCCGCCAACAGAAAGTTTTAAATGATCAGAATCCCACTATGGTCTCAAACCTTAAGTTCTGTGGCAGACCCTAGAAAGAATCATTCTGAATTATTTTTTTTTATCTACTCTGGCATCCTGGGAAACTGCTAGGTTAAGCTTCCTTCATTCTCTATTTTTAAGTTCTGATAGGAGGGCAATGCTTCCCCTCGGGCTGCTGGAGGCAGTCAGGAATCACATCAGCAAACACCACCCGAGTCCCCCAACCCCAGCTCTCCACAGCAGCAGCTCCTAAAATCTGGGGAAAAGGAAATGAACAACACCAAGGTCATGGCCGGCCCAGAAGAGGAAACCGTCAAAGAAAACCTAGACATGGAGTCTTGCCGTTCTTTACCCCTTCAGTGCATATGTGTGGGAGAATAAATAACAATGCCCAACAACCCTGGGAAGTTAGGTTACACTGAAGCAGAACTGAGTTGTGCCACTGAAAGCTGGCCTGCACGAACGTGAGTTTGATTAAGGGACACGAGGATGATTTACTCTAGGAGTTGGGTTCTGTTCTGTTCTTTTTTTTTTTTTGGAAGAGAGCCTTGTATGCCTAAGTTGGTTTAAATGTGGTCATACATAAAGTCTAGAATATGGACTGAATAACTTAAAGGTCCCTGGGAACCCTAGATTTTGTAATTGAATTAGGCCATCCAGCCTGGGCTTGGTTTGTTTAAAGCTTGGTCATGGGTCAGGTGTCTAGGCTGAATACGGATTTTGAACTCTCCGAGAAAACTTCAGAATGCTCATATCTATTTTGGAAACCAGCACTTGTCTCCTTGCAACAGGAATCCACTAATGGATTGAGGATGCCATTGAGGCATCCACTAATGCAGGGGTCAGCAAGCCATGGCCCACAGGCCAAATTTGTCCTGCCACCTGTTTTTGTATGGCTTGCAAACTAAGAATGATTTTTTCATTTTTAAATGGTTGAAAAAGAAATCAAAATAATATTATTTTGTGACATGTGAAAATTATATGAAAGTCAAATTTCAGTGTCCATAATTAAAGTGGTTTTTTTTGCCAAGGAAGATTAGCTATGAGCTAACATCTGTTGCCAATACTCCTCTTTTTTTGCTTGAGGAAGATGAGCTTTGAGCTAACATCTGTGTCAATCTTCCTGCACTTTATATGTGGGTTGCTGCCATGGCATGGCTGACCAGTGGTGTAGGTCCATGCCCAGGATCCAAACCTGCAAACCTGGGCCACCAAAGCAGAGTGCACCGAGCTTAACCACTACACCACAGGGCCAGCTCCCATAAACAAAGTTTTGTTGGAACACAGCCACATCTACTCTTTTACATGTTGTCTATGGCTACATTTGTGCCCCAACAGCCATGTTGTATAATTGTGAGACACTGCATGGCCCACAAATCATAAAATATTTACTATCTGGCCCTTTACAGAGAAAGTCTGCTTACCTCTGCACTAAGGTAAAAAATAATCCTGCACAAATGCAGAAAAATGAGAGGGTGACATTATTCATTCTTTAATTAACCTAATTAAACCACCATGCTGGAGCCCCCAATGATTTTCTCTACTCAGTTAAACCCCCAGAGCAAGAATCAGCTCAACTCATGTGGTATTAGCAAAACAACTTACCAATAATGCACCTGGCAGAGAGAATTGCCCACCATGCTTATCACATTCCAGAAAAGCAAATCAGAATATCATATAGGTTCAATTGCTCTCCTAACAGGAACTTTCATTCTTGCCTCTGGGTTGAGGGTCTGCTTCCTTCTCAGTTGCACAAGGCTCTTCCTTGTTATGCTGCGGGTGGGGTCAAAGAAATTAACCCTGGCCTAGCTGGGGAAGAAGCTAGCACTGTGCATGGATTCTATAGCGTGGCATTTCTCTCCTCGCCTCCTTGGAACAGATTGGAAGCTTCCGATCCCCCCAGGACCTGTTTATCCACTGTTAATCTCGAGTCTGAGCATCACCAAAGCTGTGGGACGAAGCTGGGAATTGTCTCCTCAGATAGCAAAGAGCTTCCGAATGCAAGACGTAAGTCTTCCAAAGATTCCTTTTGTCCTTTATCCATTGCAGACTGAGAAGTGAGAATGTGCCCCATACAGGGGCGAGCTGAGCAAATGAGGTGCTGCGGCTGACCGAGACCAAAAGAGTAGGAGTAAGTGGTTTCTGTTCACCACCATCCCCATCCCACCCCCATCACCTCCTGTCACCATGTGAGACAGTGCAAGGAGAGCAATGAAGCCGTGGACACAGAACGTAATGCATTTTAAACCTCATCAGGGATCCCTAAAAAGAAAAAAAAAAAAAAAAAAGAAATCCTCAAAATCAGACAGTTATGTCCCGAATGGTCTCTCCCACCCCAGGGCACCTCTGCTCCTCCTCCTGGCCCTGACTTCCTGCTGCCCCTTCCACCGCGTGAGATGCTGTGAGTCTTTATCCCCTAATACCTCACCCTCTGGTTACCAGGTTCATTTTGCTTTGTTTGAAAGAGACGTTTTTGAAAAGTTTGGTGGTAATCTAACCTTTTCTCTCTATTGTCTTAAAATCCAGAAATGGCCTTCTTCAAAACTTAATTACTCACTCGTGTGACAAAGTTCTGTTGAGCATTTACTAAATGACATGTAATCTAGGCAGATGGATAATCCATGTAGATGGATAAAACAAGCCCCGTTCTCGAGCACCTTAGGGTCTAGGTGGGACATGATCAAGTAGAGAGACACACGCAGTAAGTCAAGTTGGGGACACAGACTATAGGGGTAAATAGTAATGAAAGCCCAGAGGAGGAGGCATTAACTCTGACTGGGGGGCCAGAAAGGCCTCTAGTGGAGGTGACACTTCACTGGAAGCCAAAATCAAGGTCATGAAAGATGAATAGGAGTAAGACAGGGGAAGACAGGAGAGGAAATGGAGGGGAAGTGATCCAGGCAGAAAAGAAGATGCATGCAAACTTCAACTCCTGTATTAAAAATGTGATAGTGGTGCTGATGATGGTGATGACTCTCCTAAAGAAAGGCAACATGACAAAAGGCAAGGGATCGAGGCCTCTCTCGTCTTTCACAGATGACACGGCTCTGTTCTGGGTCAGCTCTGACCCAGTCCAGAGTGACTGGGTTTGGAGGGGTCTGGCCCTAACTAAGGTCCATTGGCATCAAACTATCTTTCTTCAAAGTGGACTCTGGAAACCGCCTTCCTTGGAACAGAGTATCCACCCTGAAGCTACAAATGTGAATTTAAACTTGATGCAAGAGAAGGTGACAGAGACCTCAGGAAAGTTCTCTCACCTTGCTGGGTCTCAGTTTCTCCATCTGGGAAGTGGGATGTTTGATCTCTAAAATCCCTAGTGGCCTGCCATTTTCGTCAGCTCCCATGTCTCCCGTCTGCCTCCAGAGTTATTGCAGTGCCTGTCTGGCATCCTTACAGTCAATGCTGGGAGAAATAAAACAACACACATCTTTGTTTCCTATTGTGTGGGAGGCAGGAAATGGCCTAACCCCCTAATTGGAATGAGGTTCCTGCGGTGTGTCCAGCCGCCCACTCCTCAAGACATCCCCACTTCCCAGGTGCCCCTGCCAGAAAGGCAGGCACACTCGGCCATCAGCAGCCAGAATCTATCCAAGACCACCATGTTGCCAACCACATCCCTGCCTCTGAGGGGTGAAAAGGATTGAGATGTGGATAGAGACGTTTGCTGAGCCTCCTCTGTACATAAGGGGGGGATGGGCCGAGCATGCCTGGGGTGGGCCCCATGGTCAAGAATCTGGGCTGGACATCACTCTCCCACTGGCCACATGAGGGCAGAGCAAGAAGAGGTACCAGCTCTTATGGAGAAACTGATGTACAGGCAGAATTTGGGACTTGGTTGTCAGTCTAAAGAGGCTAGGCCAGAAGACAGAAAGTAAGTGAAGGTGAGATGGTCAGGAAGTGGGAAAACCCCTTGAGAGCTAGAGTCAATGCAGTTGAAAGGCAGAGCCTATGCTGCTGGAGCTGTGGTACCCAGCAGGAGCCGCCTTCAACTGAGAGCTCGCAGACCTGTGTACGGGCAGCGGGGGCACCATGGAGGGAAGCTCTGGGACCAGTGGCTTGGGAAATCTACTGGTCACCCTGTGTCCGTGTCTCTCCTAGTGGAATGCAATTGGGGCTCCTTTGCTCCTCGGTTTCTAATATCAGTGAGATTAGAATCTCAATAGAACCTTCCATCACACATCAGAAGCTGCCTCCTGCCTCCGGGAAGGATGGCCTTCAACTCATAGCATTCTTGACATGCCAGTTTCACATAAATCATGCCATTTCCAGGCTGGAACAAGACTTTCATCAATAATCCACCATAGAGGTGGGTGGTGAGTGGAGGTCCCATAGTGAGTGGCACAGTCTGAACTAGAACTCAATGCCCTGACCCTCAATCTACTGCTGTGCCAGGCTCCCAGCAACAAATGGAGGGCACGGCCCTTTTATCTGCCTCCCAAGGCCACAGAAAACTAATAGAGGTAAATGGAAGTCCAACTAATGAATGAGAGGCATAGCAAGAGCTGCCTATTTTACAAAGTACACCTCGTCTTGATGTGACCCCTGGTACTTGGTGACCACGTGCTAGCGGGGCTCTTCACTGCAGGTGCACATGGCCCATCTGCCCCAGCAGGGCCCTTTCCAGCACTTCATGGACACAAAGGCCAAGAAGAGGCTGGCAGGCCGGAAGGAGCGCCACAGTCGCTATGGAGACGTCAGTGTGCACAAGTGCTATCAGTTTGGGCAGATCTTCTCCCCTTTCCAGGCCCTCGCCACCACGGTGAGCAAGCTTTTCTTTTGTAAAGGGTTCCAAAGTCCTTTAGTGAGACCAGTGACAAACCCCAATTCTTTCTCCTTTTGAGGAATGGATTAGTCAGTTCTGGCCACAAAAATGCTGCGTAACAAACCACCCTAAAACTTAGTGGCTTACAATCTCAAGCATTGATGTTCCTCACTCTCCAGTCTGCAGAGAAATACTAACCCCACTTTTATTCACTGCAGACTCACAGGGTGGGAGGGAGTAAAGCATTGAGAACAAAGATCCATCTACCACAAGAGACTAAATCCAGCTTACCTAAAGGGCGGTGACGTGAGGTCTAGGGGAAGATAGAAAGGCAGATGGTTGCAGCTGTGGTGTTCAGAAACAAGAAGACCATTTCAGCTGGAGGAAGAGATCTGGGGAAGGGGGAGGTTTTGGTGATACAGGAAGATGGTTCTAGTTCCCATCCCTCTACCTCACCTGTTACCTTCTGGACCCAAGTTAATTCAAGTGGGACTATTCTAAAATGCATATCCTTGAAACTATGACTGTTATGTCCTGGTGATACTTTCTAGATATACATTCTTCTGATTATAAAGTTTGCGTGTGCATAAGAATCACTTAAGAAGCCTGATTAAAATGTAGATCTCTGGGCAGGTAGTGATTCCAATTCAGAGGGTCTTGAAATTTCCTTTTTTAAACAAGTTCTCTGTTTATCACCTTTAGGCATCATTGCTCAGTCAGGGCTTCTCAACCTTGTTCATTTCATCAGCACCCCTAAGTCTGAAGAGAGCCAGCATGTCAGGCCACCTGTAATCCACTCACAGCTCAACAGCGTGCCCAGGAACCCAGGTCACGAACTTTCGCTCAGCAGCAGTTCTCATCCTTTCTGAACTTCAGAATCACTTGGGTAATTCACCATGCTGATGCCCAGGCCTCACCCCATAACAATTAAATCAGAAGCTGTGGGGGTGGGTCCCAGGCATCAGCCTGTTTTAAAGTTCCACTGGCAGGGTGACCAACTCATCCTGGTTTTCCTAGGACTTACTTTCAGACTTCTTCTGGGACTTTTTATCTTTTAGCACTAAAAGTCCTGAGTCCCAGGAAACCCCTCACTCCTGGCTTTAAAACTCAAAGTCTTGAGTCACTGGAACCTGGGCAAACCAGACAGTTGGTCATTGATCACTCTACCCACACGTGATTCCAACGTGCAGCCAAATTTGAGAGATTTTGCTGTCTGAACTTTCTAGAAACTAGTCCCAGTTCCTCATATCACAGGTAGCAGCTGCCCATCTGTCCATCCACTGGCCAAACATTCCTTAAGCATGTGCATGTACCCAAAGTTAAGCCCTCTGGAGGACCCAGGATCAGAAATCTCAACCCTACCCTCAAGAAACTTCTGATCTTCTAGAGAAACTGAGCCATGAGCCAAAAATCATGCAACAAAACACAAATATAATGAAACATCAGTAAGAATAGCTCCATAAATTGATAGAGCCAGAAGGAGATGAGAGTTATCCAAATTTGAGCTGCTTTCTGCTCAATCCAACCCCCCAAGGTCCTGTGGAAGAACAAAGTTTCCAGATAGGGACATCCTCTCAACTCACAGTGCCACTTGGAAAGAGCAGATCTCCCATGCATTGGGAGCAATAGTACCCATGTATTGAGTTCTTGCTACGGGCCAGGTATCATGCTAAATACTTCACACATCCTTGATCTTCATGACCTCCACCATATTAACATCATCCTCAGTGTATAGATGAGGAAACAAAAGCTGAGACATGTTGACTCACTTGTCCATGACTACTGTTAGTCAGTGGTAGAGACAAGATATGAACCTGCTGTGCTGGAGGTCCCAACCCCCATCCTCTATTTCATTGCCGTTATTCTCTGCCTCATAGGAGATGCGAAGACTGGTGTTTCCCCAAGATCTGCCCATGAGTCAGCACATACAGAGAACAGGCATTTCATGCACCGCCAAAGGGAATCTCCAGGATTTATCCTTGTCTTCCACAGAGCTGGCCTTCAGAAAGGATGACAGCAACCAGGAGAAAGAGAAACCAGCGAGCCACATTAAAACACCTTTATTCCCCCCAATAGTTAAAGTAACAAAATCTAACGACATGAAATAATAAAAATTGCAAAATTGCATTCTGGCCCCTTGCTGTAAGTTTTTGCATTAAAACAGTTTGCGCTCAGGGACTCGGGAATGCTGGGACGTTCCCAAACCTGACTTAACATTTAGATGACTTGAGGAATTCCCCAATGTGCCTTTGTGTGAACATTTTGGGGAGGGTGAAACAATTAGAAGCTGCAATACCCAACTAGAACTGAATCCTTAATAAGTATACTTTTCTCAGAAGTCTGAAGATGGGGGGAGGGGATGGTTACAGTTCAATGAATCAAGGGACCAACTCTTTCCATCCTCTGGTCTACCATCACCAGAGTGTTGGATGGTAACCTCAGGATTAGCTCCTCATGGTCACAAAATGGTTGCTACTGCACCAAACACCATATCCTCACATAAGCACATCAAATACTAGAAGGCTGAAGTTTCTCCTCATGCTACACACACACACACACACACACACACACACACGCACGCACGCACACAGAAGGAGAACCTCTCCCAGGAACCACTCAGCAGATTTCCCAATAATTCTTCTTGGCTGGGATGGTGTGGCTTGCCCATGCCATAACCACAAGGGAAGCTGGGAAGGCAGGTATCGGGTATTTACTGGGAGGCAAGTTCTACCGTCAGGAAAAGTAAGTAGGAAAACAACAGATGGGGAAGCAATTAATGTCTGCCACAGTGGGACACTCATTAGTTTGCAGGTCAGACCATTACAGTGAGAATTTATATTTATGCTGAGTGAAAATCCGTCTTCTTATAATTCCTAAGCATCAGTCCTAAGGTTGTTCCTCTAAGAAGCCTCCTCCACCTTAAATAGCTTCCATTTTCCTATTATTTTAAAATAATATATGCTTATAATAAAAAAATTACGCAAAAGTACAAACAAGAAAATAACAATTACCCAAACCACACCATTTAGAGACAACTAGTGTTTACGTCTGGAAGCTTTTAGATTGTTTTTCCATCTCTCGCTCCTGTTGATAACGCTGAGGTCGTCTTTGGGCCTAGGTCCCTTTTCCATAGTTCTGATTAGGCCATTTCTTGCCACCATTGCCCGACATCTCTCAGAGGGTCACCCGCTCCACTTCCAGGTCCCCTCCCACGTGGCTGTGGTCACCAAAGCCATGGCATCTCTTTGCATTGGAGCACTGTCCCCAGACAGGTGGTCTATCCTTTCCTTGCTTCCAACTTTCGAACATACTAAACAACCCCGCGAAACGAACACAAAACCTACTTCTTCTTTATTTTTAACCCTTAACCTTTTTCACAGGTTCATGGAGGGCTTAATTTTTTTTAGCCCTGTTATGTTTATTTCTGCACGACACGATACGCAGCAGACACCACAGTTCCCCTCCTTTCTGGCACACGTTCTCTTCCAGCCTGGGGCAAACGTTCCCTTTGCAGCTCTGTTGATTAATTCAATTGCCTGCTTGCTTTTCATCTTACTCATATCCTTTACATTTACACAGGCAGAATTCTAGATTTTGGTGTTTCCCATTTCTCTTGAGCCAGGGATCGATCCACAAACTGTGGCTCTTGGGCCAAATCTGGCCCTCCTCCTGTTCTTGTCAATAAAGTTTTATTGGAACACAGACATACAATTTGTTCACATACTGTCTGCTGCTCCTTTTGTGCTACAACAGCAGAGGTGACTAGCTGCAGCAGAGGCTCCGTGGCTTGCGAAGCTGAAAATATTTACTATCTGGCCCTTTATAGAAAAATCTTGCTGCTTTGTTGTAAGCCAAATTTCCCTTTACAATTTCTGACTAAGGGATTCTAGTTCCCTTATCTCTGGTTTAAAAAAAAATATATCCCTAAAGTCTAGAGTCCATGACTATGTCCATCTACCGGCAAAGAAAGTCAAGAACTTAACCAGTTCCCTTCCTAGAAGGACCTATGGTAGATGGCTGCCTGACGCTGTCCCATCTCTACCTTACCTGCCTGCAGGCTACTTTGCCATCTGCATTCAGAAACCACCCTGCACATCTTGTGCATGACCTGGCAGTTTGTGTACAAGCTTCTGTCTTTCTCTCCTTTTATTCTAAGCATGAGCCACACCCTCCCACCTGCTTCTACTTTCATGGGGACGATTCCATACAGAAGGGCAGGTTCCATATGGGTGCCAGTGAGGGCTTAACATCAATGCTACCCCACCTGGGTGTGTTTGCTTTTAAATGAGGTGTAGCCTTCCACCCAGACTCAAGCAGAGATAAAGCTCTGGAGAATTACAATGGAAGGCAATGAAAGCTGGAGACCCACAGAGATTTTCCACGCTTAGACCACGTGCCCAAGCATTAGGAGGAAGAACTACCAATGTAATTCACAATTGACAATAAATCTGACTTACATACGTCTTTGCAGGAACCCATTAATACATAAAGCGAGATCTACATAGACAAAGCTTTTCTTCTACTGTGGGACTTGAGCAAGGCAGGACTCATAGGTGAGAAGCAATAATAATTGCATCAGCCAGCATATCCTGAGTAATTACTTTGTCCCAGGCACAGGGTTAAAAGCTTGTGTGGATTTACCTCATTCAATCCACGCTATTGTTCCACTATAATAATCCACTATTATTAAGGATGAGAACAGGGATGTTTCAAGAGCTGCTGCCTCGCTTATGCAGGCATTTGACTGGGAGCCCTCTACAGCCCAGATGTGCTTTCCCTGGCTTGCCCGGGGCACACAGCCCCGATTAGCAGTCATTTATACTCCATTCTTGTTCAGAACCACCACACACATTTTTACCCCATTCTGCCCTACGGCTTATTTGCTCTTTTCTTAGCTCTCTTGATAAAATAACCCATGCATATATGACAAATGCTAATGAATTCTTCTGTCCCTGCTTGTAGATAACGTCTTTCCATTTCAGCTGCTGCCTTCTAGTGCGAATTCGTAAAAGTGAGAACGTCAGCCTCCTGGCAGCTGCTGGGGGCAGGCAGGGTCCACGGCAAGATCCCTGTAAGGGAGACTCTGGAGCTTTGGAAGTGTGCAAGTTCCATGAGTGGGGGGAATTTAGGAGGAATGGAGGGGAACAAGCAGAAGTTTCCTTGTACAGTTAGAAGCTTAAAGCTGGTTCAAGTTCTGCCACTTATGACTGTGGGACCTCGGGCAAGGCGCCTCTGGGATGTTAAGGAGGCTGGCTCCTGGTGAAAAGTCTACGTGTGATTTTTCAGGCCTGACCATGGGCAGTTCCAAGGCTTTCCTGGCAGGCTTCCCGGGGAAAGAAAGCTGCGCTGCCCACACCAGGCCTGGTGACTGCAGACTCTGAAGGGCATTGCGGCAAGGACTCAGGCCCCTCTGGCCAGCTGTGCTTTTCCCGTATTTGTGTTCCTAGCCCCGGTGCCTTCCTTCCTAGGTCTCTTTATCTGAGCCCTTGGGCAAATAGAGCTCTTCTTCAGGAGCCTCTGTCGAGGCCTCCTTGTGGGGCGGGGAACGAGGGGAAACCTTGAAGACACCTTTCCCCATGCTGACTCAGTACCCAGTACTTTTCCACCCCTGCCCTTCCCCCTCCCTGTCTCTCTGCCCCCCTCACCCCGACCTCAGGATCTCGCAACAGCGAGCCGCCCAACGTCTGCGCTGATCCCCCTGAGCTCCCGTTTTAGACTCTTGCTCATCCATGGCAGTGATTCAAGGCTTAACTCTTTCATTTTCCGCCTGTTCCTTGAATCAGCTACTCGACACCTGACAGCTCAGCATTCTCTCTCCAGCTCGCTGAGCTCCTACGTGCCCCCGAGTCTTTCTCGTGGAGAGGTGGAG